AAAAGCAACTTTTGAAAAGTATTTTTGAAAGTGCTGAAACCTATTTTAAAAATGAGTAGTTATGTCTTTGGATAAAAGTGCTTCAATTGAAAAAAAAAGTTGTTGATGTGTTTGACAAATAAGTGCGGGTAAACACTTTTTTTTAATCAAAATGTCTGAAATACCCTTAAAAACTGTTAACATGATAAAAAAAATTGATTAATTTAAGGTTTTTATACTTAAAAAAATTAAAACAAAACTAATTTATTTTTTACATCCATAAGTAATAATATTTCCTTTCATTCACATATTTCTTTATCATCACAAATGTTTTATAATTATAACTATAATTATAATAATAATATAACGATAATAATAATAATAATAAATAAAAATAGTAATAATACTAATACTACTACTACTACTACTAATAATAATAATAATAATAAGAAAAATAATAATAGTAATAAATAATAATAATAATAGTAAAAGAATTAAGGGCAAAAAAAATAATATATTTGATCAACATAAATGACTTTTTAAATTGAAAACAAAAAGCGCCCCTCTTTTGATTTAAAATAAGTTTTTTTTGAGTTAAAATAAATCATTTTAATAATTGTTACACACTCTAATAAATCAAAAACTGACTTTAAGTCAGTTTGACCAACTTTTAAACTCATCCAACCAGGTTCATATACCGTTATCATTATACATGACTAAGATATACCTTTATATCTAACCAAAACAAATAAATTAAATTATTTTTAAAAAAAAATGCGTTAATTAGATCGTTCTAACAAAGTTCTAAGGCATAATTTGATCCTTCAATACAAGTTAAATTTTTTTATTTATTTTCCTTCTCTTTAATTCATCGAATGATCGATATTTATTATCTTGATGATCAAATATATTTTCGCTTATTTTCTAATAATATTTGTTACAGACTTTGATTGTTTTTCAAATATGAAAAATAAATTACTCTATAACTGTATAAATTTTTTTAATACATTCTTGCTTTTTTGTCTTTTTTTTAATTCACATTTCTTTCTTTTTATTTCTTATTTTTACACTAAAAATGATTTTTTTTTAAATAATAGTAAATGTAATCAAATAGATTTATAAAAGAGATATTTTAAAATTAAAGTAGTCTTTAAATAAAAGAAATCAAATATACATTTTTTTTGAACCTGCACGTAACATGTTGATGTTCTGTTCCCTTATTGAAATTTGTTTGTTTTTTCTTTAAAATTCATTATTATTTTTTCTTTTTTCTCTTAGCCATTTCCTTATGTGAATTCATTGAAAAAAGAGTTAACCAAGTTGGACTAATAATTATATTCAGTTATACATTCTTATGATACTTATTACTTTAGGCACAATTTGTCAAGGTATTTGGATTTAGGTCAAATAAAATGTTTTTCATCAATCAATATTTTTGGTTTGAAACGAAATGGATCGAATAGGAAGACCGTGGCTTAGGAAATTAAGCACACAAAAATTGGTTATGATTTTAATGTTATTTTCTTAACAAACAAAAGAAAATGAAGTCTCCATGTCGTGGGGTGGGGGTAGTGGATGGGGTAGGTAGGAGGATTGCCTAAGCCTTATAAGGAGTCCACTCATCTCATTAACTATTGATGTGGGACTTTTGTCATTTTTTAATAAAAAGTTTGATTCATTTATGTCACTACCGTTAAAGAAAATGCTTATTTATGCCATTATTTTTTAATAATGGTTTTACAAAATCATTTTTGACACGCTATCAATTTTAATTAGTCACATGACAAAAAAGATTTTGCAAAATCACCGTTAAAAAATAATGGCATGAATAAGCTTTTCTTTAACGATAATGGCATAAATGATTCAAACTTTTAACTGATGGCATAAATAAATTTTTTTCAAGCTTAATGCATATTTAAGCCTTTTAATAACATTCTATTTTTTTTAAGTAAGTTTAGTTTAAAAAGACATCATATCAGTCAAAATAAAGTAGTGAGTTACACGATTTAAACGTGATTTTCTGCATTTTAAAATCTGAATTTCAAGAATGGAGGAGAATACCTTAGTCCACATAAAATTAGTTAATTTAATCAGAAAAAACCAATCCAACCAGTCAAATTATAGTTACGAAATAAAAGAAAAATAAGTTTTACATAAAATCCAACATTACATATAAGTAGTAGAAAAATGAGTTATGTGCCAGTTAATTAAGAAGAGTCAATTGGTGAAAAATACATATAACAACTAATAAAGAGGAATATACTACTTTCTAACCTATGTCCAACAATAATTATTTCTTATTAACTTAACACATAAAAATGATGTATTATTCATTAATTTTCTAAACAAGACAATAAATATTTAAAATCTCAAAATAATTTAATGAACAAGTAAAAATATACACAAAAAAGATAAAGGTTAAAGCTAATAAAAATGACTTGTGGTCTCCTCTTCGTTATATGTCGACATCTTTTTGATATTTTGCTCTATTTTTCTTATATTCTTTCTCTATCTGTCCATATCTACGTAGCATAGTGAACACATTATGTCTTCATTTCTTCCCCTTTTAATGTTTGGTTGCTACAAATCCGAGTTAATATCTCAAAAGTTACTCAACTTTGAAAAAATCATCCAATTTCTTTATATCAATAAAATCACTCAACATAAAATTGTATATCAATAAAATCACTCAATTAAATTTATCACTTTAAAAAAAATTGATATAACAAAACAAATTATGTTTTATATCATGTTTATGATTTATATAATAAAATAAATAGCTCAAAATTACTATGTCATTATAAAATAAAATAATTAAAGATAAATTTCAATTTTGAGATACTAAAATACAATTTAACTTTCGTATAGTTGTTCTTGTTTCTAGTACAACTTCAAATACTTTTTTTTTTAAAAATAAATCTCTCCAAACGCTTACTTAATAAAAAGATATAATACATCAATATCATTTAACTTAGCTTCAAATCATATTTATGTCCTTTAACTTTGAGTGTACACAAGTAGACACTTAAATTTGTATGAAGTTGAACAAATGGACACACATGTTCTATATGTCATTCTACATATCATTTTTTGTCCTACGAGGTGTTCTACGTGTATTGTGTCATGTAGAACTCACGTGATTATTTATTTAAAAGTTGAATAGTTAAAGTGCCTGAAAAAAATACTTTCCTATAGAAATTTTTAGAAAAATACTCAGCATTGTAACACTGTTATAAAGGTTGAATGTATCAAAATTATTTTGTTTTCTCCAAATTAGTCTATCGAATGTGTCAAATCTTTCAGTATACTCATGGGATGTTATTAATACAAGAAATAATATAAAAAATCTACCAGTTTCAGATTTCATGATGACGATGAAGAAGAAGCAATAAGAAATAACGAAAGACAGAAAGGAGGCTGCTGAAAATATTGTTGTTTTTATCTTTTATTATTTTATTCAATAAAGGTGAAATAATAAATTTTAAGATATTTATTTATTATTTTAATTATTATAATTATGATAGTTTAGTTGAATGATTTTATTGATATAAAAATTTAAGTTGAATGATTTTATTAATATAAAATAAAATTTAATAATTTTACTAAATAAATTTTTAAAATTTAGTGATCTTTGAGATATTTACTCCTGCGAATCCAGAATAACCAAGTATGTGCATACTCTTTATAAATACTCTTTTTATCCTAATTTATGATATTCTTTTATATATTTTAATTTTTGTGAATGACTATTGTAGTTTTTAATATTTTTTTGTCCTAATTTACATGAATAACTCTACGATTCTTTGATACTTTTTATGAACTTTCTCCCGGGGATCAAAAATACTAAATTTTAGATATTAATATGAGTATAATTATTTTGTAAAAAAATATAATTTATGTATGTACAAGTCAACATATATATCTATCGAATCCAATTAATTAATTTAGTTAAAGAAAAAAAAACCTCCAAATAGTCCTACTTTTGGGCGATATTGGAAGTAATAGTTTATTTCTTTTAAAAGCTGTATGACTTTGTATTTTCTATATATACTAGAAAAAGAGAAGCCGTGCTTCGCACGGGCTCAATTATTATTTGAAAATTTTTAATTTTTAATTGTGAAAATTTTGAAAATACAATAATATTTATTTTTTCTACTAAAATATTAAAATTAAAAATCAAAAGAAATTTATGAATAAAAAGATTGAGAAATGATAAGCAAATGTATTTCTTACTTAATAATAATAAAAGATGATATAATTTGGACAGCTAAATCAAAAGTTTAAATTTAAATCATAGGAATATTTGCTACCTATTTAGTATGACTTTTTTGAATATTTAAATTTAGAAACGTGTATATAACACTAAAAATTTATATATTATTTTCATGTAAAGCAGAATATGAAATAATTAACACAAAAATAAGTAATACATAAATAATTAAATCTTAATAATTAATGTTTATTTAAAATCACATAGTTAGCATATCAGGTTTTTGAATTTTTCTTTTCCTATTTTATTCTCAACATTAATTACTTATTTTAAATTATTTTTTAAAATATATAATTGTATGTCAATTAACGTAAACAAAACAGTTATATAAATTTAAAATTTAAAATTTAAAATTACAAATATTCAAGTGGCCGAATGCTTTTTTCTATGTAATATGTGTATAAGCAATAAAAATGCAAATTAATAGAGAAGTGGGCCCCGTTTGAGTGACCCCAAGTTCTTTCTACGTAATGTGTACAAGCAATACAATGAGACACTGCAAATTAATAGAAAAGTGGGCCTCCTTTGAAATGTGAATCGGAGTGCTGCTTGCTTATTCACATTTGCTATATAATAAGTAAAAAAAAATATTAGTAAGTTGTCCAAGTCTTTCTTGGTTTCCTCTCATTATTTTTCTCTTTTTTTTAATACTTCATATGTATCAATAGTACTCCATAAAACACTCAAAACTATCATTGGGATCACATAAAAAGCCCCTTTTAGCTTTCTACACCAATATTTATTATTATTAATGGCACAGTTTAAAAAAACGATATTCTGGTACATTCTATTGGTTCTTCCCGCGATAGTATTAGGGGATTTAGGGGATTGTACTTGTGATCCCGAGGATGAATACAGAAACAAAAAAGAAGCACTCAAGTACAAAATGGCAGCACTCGCTTCTATTTTGGTAGCGAGTTCCATTGGTGTGATTATTCCTGTTCTGGGCAAGGCGATTCCCGCTTTAAGCCCAGAGAGGAATTTGTTCTTTATAATTAAAGCTTTTGCGGCTGGTGTGATTTTATCAACGGGGTTTATACATGTGCTTCCTGATGCATATGGAAGTTTGACATCGCCATGTTTGGCAAAACATCCATGGGGAGATTTCCCATTTAGTGGATTTATTGCAATGGTTTCTGCATTGGCGACTCTGATGGTGGATACTTATGCAAATTCGTATTATAGTAAGAAAAATTTGGAAAATGGAGTGGCGGTGGCTCAGTCTGGAGATGAAGGAGGAGTGGTTCATCCTCACTCTCATGGTTCAGGATCAATGATGGTTGATTCCAAGTCTGAACTCCTCCGTTACCGTGTTATTTCTCAGGTAAATTATTTGATAAGTAATTCGGGAGAGTATTGAGTTATTATCTATCTATTAAATCACGAATTAATAATCTTTATGATTATTTTGTACACTACTCCGTGCGGAGTAAAGTTCGATTCAGACGAATTTCTTTTGTGTAGATTAAGTAAATATGTGTATATTCTTCACGCTATTAATATTGGCTGTGATTACACTGTAAAGATCGTGGAAGGGAGAGAGGTAATATGAGAATTGATTCTGCACTTAATATGTGTCAGATTCAGTAAAAGGAAAGTACATCTTTTTTCTTTTTAAAAAATAGTAATAATGAATGATATTCTTTTATTTTTATGTTGATTTATTTAAATAAAATAAAGTTTTACCTAATATAAACACTATATTAAAGAATTAAATTTTTTATATTTATTCAAAGATCTGAGATATTTTATATTAAAGTTTTATCTAACGAAAGAAGTACTAAAGAATTATATCTTTGTTTTATACTGAAAGATCTGAGATATTTTATATTAATTGAAGTCAAATGCTATCATTGATTCTTGAACACATTTATATTTTCAAAGAAAGAATCGCTACCACACACTATTGTATTCCTCGTTTTTTATTTTAAATTTTACCGGAATTTTAGAAAATAATGATTGATACGAGTATTTTAACATAATATTCATATTAATTGATGATATTAATAAATAACTTTATTAATATTTTAAATGAAATAATAAATAATTATCTATTTTTATACGTTAAAATAAAAATAAACAGAGAGTATAATTATTTTTTAGTGTGTGAATAATACTAACATAAAATTTATGGTGGGGCTTGCAGGTTTTGGAACTTGGGATAATAGTGCACTCTGTGATTATTGGAATAGCTTTGGGTGCTTCTGAAACTCCAAAAAACATAAAGCCTCTAGTTGCTGCTTTGACTTTTCATCAATTTTTCGAAGGCTTGGGACTTGGTGGATGCATAGCTCAGGTAATAGTTTATTTATTTAATTTTATATTCCCTCCGTCTTTATTTATTCGTTCATATTTTTTCTTGTAGTTGTCTCTATATACTTGTTTATAATGATAAATCAAGAAAGGATAATTTTCTTTTCCTATTATACCTAGACTTCTTCAAAATTTTCAAAATTTATAATTAATAAGGTTAAGATTGTAACTTCACTATGTTAGTATTGTTATCTTAATATGTATATAATTTCTAAAGTAAACAGCTAAAAAGGAACGGCAAAAGTACAAATTTGATTATCTATATGTATACATCTAAAAATCGTTTCATATAAATGTGGGGTGTGATGAGTATTGTTTTGGGTCCATTGCATTTATGTGAATAGAAAGGCTACGTACTCGCTGCTTGTTTCTTTTCTAAATTTTGACAAAGTCTTGAACGTGAAGTGTTGTGAGTTTTTGTCCAAATGCATAGTTACAAAAATACTTGCCATCCAAAGTCAGAAAAAGCATGCTACGTCAAGTCAATGAAGAACAATATAATGGCTACGTTATTACTCCAAAAGTTTAGGTGTCGGTACATTAACTAATTAAATGTATCGATCGATGATTAATTTTGTAGGTCACTTATAATTTATTTTTTCTAGTTTTATAATCTTCATTTATACACATGACAGATCTAAAAAAAAATCCATTTTTCTTATAAATTCATTTAGACACTTAAAGTTTAGTTTGGATGTTTTGGCAGGCAAAATTGAAGAGTCGGACAATCGCAATAATGACGTTATTATTCTCGCTCACAACTCCAATTGGAATAGGAATCGGACTAGGAATAACAAATGTTTACGATGAGAACAGTCCAACGGCTCTTATTGTGGAAGGAGTATTTAATTCGGCATCAGCTGGCATTTTAATTTATATGGCACTCGTTGATTTTTTAGCTGCCGATTTTATGCATCCAAGAATGCAAAGCAATGGAAAGCTTCAATTAGGGGCCAATTTCTCACTTCTTCTTGGTGCTGGACTCATGTCTATGTTAGCCATATGGGCTTAATTGTTACCAATATAGGAGCTAGTATTATAAAAAAATTTCACTTTTTTGCGTCTACTCTTGGCTATTGGTTCTATACAATATATACATATATACACACGATTGTAAATCTTTATTTAAGCTACATAATAGTGCACCCTTAACTTACTTTCACTTGTTTTGTTTATATGAAAGATTCTGCTTTCTAGTGTGCCTACTATGTTTTGGACCATGTTGATTGAAATCAACCTTGAAATTGTCTTCCGTTTCAATTTTATTGATTTTGACTTGACACAAAATTTAAGAAAAAAAAAGAAGACTTTTGAATCTTATATTTTTAAATAAAATCAAGTGTGTCATTTTTTTTTACGATGAACATGAAATTCAGAAGAGGCGTGAAGATTAAAATAAGTTAAATAAAGGATAACTACTTTGTTAGACATACATCACTACCATATATACTAACTTACCTTTAGTTTTAAATAATTACATATATTATCACTTTTATATTTTATACCATATATTATTGAAGATACAATCAATATTCATATCCCTTAAAACTACGATTAATTACTTATCTATACATTTAAACTCCAAATTACTGTTTTAATTAAAATTCTCTCAAAGAAAATGAGTTAGAGTAGAGCTGAAAACTTTCCTCTTTCTCTTCCCTCGAAGAGTCAAAATTTACTAAGAAAAACACTCAATTGAAATGGATGTTCTACAACTTGTCAATACACACATCAAATTCTTAACCTTTGATTTTCTCACTCTCAAACTAATTCCCTAAAAATCCACCATTTTTTCTTGCAAGGGGAGATGTCTGTCACACTCAGAGACAATGGATATTGTTGTAAGCAGAGATTTCTAGCTCACTAAATTTATCAGATTCGACATTGATGACAGTATCAATTGAATACCTTGTATACTATAGATCAACCAAGAAACTTCACATCACTTCTCCAGCCAAATCTAGGCACCGTTAGCAACACCGATGAATCAAAAGGTGAAGCAAACACTACTGTAGTGAGATGCTTTAACTAGCCAGGAACATGATCGAAAAGTTTTAATAAACGGAGATTTATGCATGTATTTGACACATTATTAATGTATCTGATTATATTTATCTGTTTTTATTAGTGTATCTTGCTATTTGTGGATTTATCTAATGATAAATTGGAGATATACGTATTATTGAAAATTTACGCATGTATTTGACACAATTTGCTTGTCATATATTTGAGTCTTGTCATATATATATGATCTTCTCTCTTGTATCTTAATACTATCATATATATTTGTTGTGTTACCACAAGAGATAATACACAAGTACCCTCTCAACCTATGTCCGAAATCTCAGAGACACACTTATACTATACTAAGGTCCTATTACCCCCTGAGCTTTTATTAATAATTTTCTACCCCTTTTCTGCCTACGTGGCACTATCTTGTGCCCAATGCTGGGTGATTTTTTTTTCAAGCTAGTGCCACGTAGACCGAAAAGGGGTAGAAAATCACTTATAAAATAAGTTCAGGGGGTATTAGGACCTTAGTATAGTATAAGTGTGTATCTAGAGTTTTGGGTATAGGTTGAGGGGGTACTTGTACATTTTCCCTTATCACAATGTATCTAACTATTTTCATATTTATCTGATATACATGTTTTTGGATATAAAATATGAAATTGATACTTGATACATCAAATTATATATATAAAAGATACATGAAATAATATGATATCATATAAATAGATACATGAAATTAACGTTAGATCATACCAATAGATACATGAGATTAATACGTGATACTTCTATGATACATATGAATATATTTGTATGACACTCATGTATCTAAGTGTTTAGTTGGTCGAATACATTATATATTGGAAATACATACATCAAATTAATAAATTTAATATTTAACAATAGTAAAATGAAACTAATCAAATTACATAACCAAGATATACACGTTTTTGTCTTTTATTAATAATATAATAAAATGAAATTAATTAAACACATATATAATCCTTGGTTGTTCGCCTTATATTAAGGGATTTAATTAATTTAAATTTTAAGAAATTGTCCATGTATTTTGAAAATCCTCAATAACTCCTCTAATTAAGGAAATCCGTTACAATCAATTAATTTCAATAAATAAAATATGCGTCTCAATTTAAATTTAGCATATACATATATCTCGCTGATTCAAGATGAAATATGTTAGAAGAAGTAATATTTGAAACTATCGAAAATCTAAATAATTAAGAACTAAACTAGTAAATTTATGTAGTTTGCCTTTAAAATAAAAGAAGCAAAATATGTTGGATTCGAAAGAATCATGACGTTATTAAAAATTAAGTAAAAGTATACCAAAATATATTACTAATATAATTTGACCAAACGATAACCTACATATAATAAAACTAATATAATATTGAAAACATAAAAACTACTGGGAGAATAATCTCCCCCCTAAACAAGACTCTAAAATGGACGATCTTGTATTTGTAGCAGTGATAGAGCCAAAAATTTCACTAAAGTTATTCAAATTTTAAAAGAGACAATAGATTATTTTAGCAGAGTGAGCACACAAAATATATTTCTTTACTGATAAGTGGATGCACCCAAATTTCAAAATTAAATTACATATCATTAAATAACTAAATCATACGGAAACTTCTTTTTATATGAAACATAAAATAAACTAAGAATGGTATAAATCAAAACTAATGAAGGAAGGTCAACAAAAACAACTTTAGCTACTAGTTGAATATACTCCCTTTAGTTCATATTAAGTGAATTGTTAGAGAGTTTTTTCATGACCCAAATAACTGTCTGCTTCAAAATTCAAGAGAATTGTTGAAACTTTTTTTTCTTCCGTATTTACCTTTTCTTTTAATAACATCTTAACTATTTTACATTTCTAAAAAAGTTGATTTATAAATAATAAAAAAAATATAATAGTGGATGATAATTTTTAATTTTATCTTTAAAAATAATTTCTTGAGAGTGTGTTATATACCTAATAATTCACTTAAAAAAGATCAAAAATATAAAGAAAACAATAAAATCTTAAGTATTAGGTTAATCAAAATTTAAGGTTAATTATTAGATTAATCAAAATTTAAGATTAATTATTAAGTTAATCTAAATTTAATGCTAGAAACATAAAGAAGATAACGAGGCGGCTACTTTGTTTTTTAAAAAGAAATACTCTATTGTGTTAAAAACACAACTAATGAGGATCGAACAACCGACCTCAAAGACCTAAATTAGCATGGTAAAAATATTTTATTAAAAAAAGAAGCTAAAACATAGCATGCTTACTGCAAGCAACCAATCTGTGTTGTTTATAAGGGCGTTCAATTTATTAAATATCTAGATAATATACACCATTTTATTTATATAGACCATATAATTTTTTGACAAAGGATATCAGCTGACCACCCTTACTAGGTTGTAGCTAGCTCTGCCACTGATTTTTTATATGAAAAGTAGGGGTGTTCGTTGTTTGGTTTGGATCGGTTATTGATTAAAATCAAAACAACACTACTAAAAAAAGACCAAAAAGAGACCTAAAAATGGAGACCTCAAAAATAGGTCAATAATAAGAGACCTCATGAGGTCGCTATTTAAATTAATATCTTTTAATTTTTTTTTAATGTAGAAGAGACCTCGTGAGGTCAATTTAATGAATAATTTTTTTTTTTACCTAACTTATTTAAAAAATTTTAATTTTTAATCTAATTCTCATAAAATTGGAGACCTCATGAGGTCTCTTAGACAAAACCAAAAACCTAGCCAAAATTAAAATAACTCTTTCTTCCCTCTCTTAATTTTTTTACACGACTGCGCGCCTCTCTCTCTTTCTCACTGACCTCGTCGACGGCGCGCCTCTCTCTCTCGTCGTCGATCGTCGACCGCCTCTCTCTTTCTCGTCGTCGATCGTCGACCGCCTCTCTCTTTCTCTCTCTCTGTCGACCCTCTCGCATTGCTATCTCTGTCGACCCTCGCTATCTCTGTCGACCCTCGCTCTCTGTCGACCTTCTCGCTCCGCCGCCAGGTCTCGCGCCACCAGCTCGCCAGCCGCCGCCAGTTGCAGCGCCTCAGCAGCAGCACAACGCCTCCATCTCCAGGTAAATATCTTCGCATAGTACAACTACTTATGGTTTCACGTGAATTAGGACTTTTTCTTATTATTTGGACACCACAAGACATTGGGCATCCTAAGAACTTGTGACCAGAAATTGTGACACTTCCAATTGGATTCTTGAAACTAATCATCTGTTCAAAATTAAAAAGAATAATTAGATCGTCGCTTTGAGAATTACTAAAGATATTGTAATTAGAAGTAAGAAGCAATTGAAACTCACATTGTTTACAAAAGGGGTCATAAGACCACATAGTGCTGCATCACAGTGGATGTAAAATCGATCTTGTGAATAGCCACATTCTTTGAGTGTTTCAAGAATAACATCAACATCATCAATAGCTCCTTTGAACGTAGTTCCTATAGTTAAAAGAACCATCAATGGAAAAGACTTAAGATGACTGATTTGATCACATAAAAGAAAAAATGAAAAATGATAAGAGGTTGGAGTATACGTATATACCAATTGTGACATTTATAATAGCTGGTTTGTCCTTATTTTGAAGTAACTTTGCTCTTAAATCTGAATAGTCCATCTCTCCATTTACTGATGTGTTGATTGTTTCTGAATCCATTCTATACATTCTTGCAGCTTTGAATACTGATATAATAATTAGCTTTAAATTTTAGATATAATTATTTGTTAAGCATAAGTACCAACACTAGTTGATCCTATTGATGACAAAATTGATTTTCTTTTGAAAATCAATTTGTGTCCATCTAGTGTTGACACTTAGCTTTAAATTTTAGATATAATTATTTGTTAAGCATAAGTACCAACACTAGTTAATCCTATTGATGACAAAATTGATTTTCTTTTGAAAATCAATTTGTGTCCATCTAGTGTTGACACTTAGCTTTAAGTTTGTAACTATCGTGTTAGTATTAAGTTAAACTAAACTAATTAAACTTAGAAATTTGTTAAGTTAGTTAATAAGTTAAACTTGTTACTATAGTATTAGAATTTATTTAAAACTAGACTAATTAGACTTAGAAATTTGTTAAGTTGGTTAATAAGTTAAATTTGTAACTATTGTGTTAGTGCTTGACAAATTTAATTTATGATTCTTATGTAGATGGATCGTAGTTGGATGTATAATATGACTAATTTTGGTCTAATGGGGCTAAGACCTGAATTTGTAGAAGGTGTCGTTGGTTTTGTGGAGTATGCAAAGACATTAGATCCTTTTCAACGTAGTGGTATGATTAAGTGTCCTTGTAATAAATGTCAATGTTTAAATTATGAAAAACCAGATGCTGTTGAGCTTCATATCTATCGAAATGGGTTTAAAAAAGAATACACTGTGTGGACTAGTCATGGAGAAATTGATAATAACTTTGATGTATTCCAACATTATGTTCCTGGTGAAAGTAGTAGCAATGTGAATTCTAATGCACAAAATTATAGAATTGATGACATGGTTCAAGATGCTTTTGGTGTGCATTCTGATTTTGATTTTGCTAATCAAGGTGAAGAAGCTCCTAATGTTGAATGTAAAATTTTCTTTGAACAATTGGAATCTGCTAGTCGGCCTTTATATGAGGGGAGTCCACACTCACAGTTGTCTATTGCGGTTAGATTATTAAGTATCAAATCAGATTGGAGTGTTCCTCAAGGGGCAATGGACTCTGTGATTGACCTTATTTATGATTTAGTTGACCCAAATCTAGAGATACCTGATAATTTCTATAAGGCAAAGAGGTTGGTATCAAAGTTAGGAATGTCATCGATGATAATTCATTGTTGTGAAAATGGTTGCATGTTATACTATAAGGATGATATTGATCTAGAATCGTGTAAGTTTTGTGAAAAATGTCGTTATAAACAGACAGCTAGTGGGAAGAAAGTTCCTATTAAGGCAATGCATTACTTACCTCTTATACCAAGGTTAAAGAGGTTGTATGCGTCTAATAGATCTGCTCCTCATATGAGATGGCACCGTGAACATAGAAGACCACCTGGAGTTATGTGTCATCCATCCGATGGAGAGGCTTGGAAGCATTTTGATAGAACATATCCACTATTTGCAGCTGAACCACGTAACATTAGATTGGGTTTATGTTCAGATGGATTCACGCCACATTCTGTTTCTGCTGCACCATATTCTTGTTGGCCTGTATTTGTAACACCATATAATCTTCCACCCGAGATGTGTATGACCAGTCCATATATATTTCTCAATTGTGTCATTCCTGGCCCTCGGAATCCAAAAGTATTGATTGATGTATACTTGCAACCTTTGATTGATGAGTTGAAACAATTGTGGGTTCAAGGGGTTGAAACATTTGATGTGTCTCTTAAGCAGAATTTTAATTTGCGGGCTGTCTTAATTGGACTATTAATGATTTTCCAGCGTATGGAATGTTGTCAGGGTGGATGACAGCGGAAAAGTTAGCTTGTCCTTATTGTATGGAAAATACTAAATCATTCACTTTGAAACATGGTCGTAAAAATTCTTGGTTTGACTGTCATCGACAGTTCTTGCCAATGGATCATGAGTTTAGGAGTATGAAAAATGCATTCAGAAAGAATTCTGTTGAACAAGGTTATCCTCCTCCAATCTTAACTGGAGAACAAGTTTGGGAGAGGGTTCAAAACTTTCCAAAGGTCGCAAAAGAACAACCCTATAAATTTGATGGATATGGTGTTGCACATAACTGGACAAAACAAAACATATTCTGGGAGTTACCGTATTGGAAGGACAATCTTCTTCGACATAATCTTGATGTCATGCATATTGAAAAAAATTACTTTGATAATTTATTTAACACAGTAATGGATGTCACTGGCAAGACAAAAGATAGTGTTAAAGCTAGAATGGAATTACCTGAATATTGCAGGCGAAAAGAGTTATGGTTGCAAGAGAAACAGAACAACAAGTTCTTCAAGCCTAAGGCTAGTTATTCATTTACAAGGGATCAAAAGCGTAAAATTTGTGAATGGGTCGAGCAACTTAAGATGCCTGCTGGACATGCTTCAAATTTAGGAAAATGTGTTGATATGGAGCATGGAAAATTACATTGTATGAAAAGTCATGATTGTCATGTCTTTATGGAAACATTACTCCCCGTTGCATTTAGTGGCTTGCCTGATAGAATTTGGAAACCTATGACTGAAATCAGTTTGTTCTTCAAGGACTTGTGTTCTAATACGTTAAGGGAAGACAACCTAGTTCAGATGGATCAGAATATTCCTGTAATTACGAATAAATTGGAGAAGATTCTTCCACCTGGATTTTTCGATGTGATGGAGCATCTTCCTGTACATATAGTGCATGAAGCACGCCTTGGAGGTCCGGTTCAATATAGATGGATGTATCCTTTTGAAAGGTAAATATTTAACTATTAATATTTTTATATTAATATGTTGTTTAAATCAATGATAACAATGTATAATGTAGGACTATTGGAAAGTCTAAACGTGGCATGAAACAAAATCATAGAGTTGAAGGCTCAATGGTTCAATTCCATCTTGGCAGGGAGATAACTAATTTTGGTTCTTATTACTTTAAAAGAAGTGTGTCATGCTTTCAAAATAGACCCAATTGCCATGACGATGGTGGTGAAACTATGAAGCCACTATCAATCTTCAATCAACCAGGCAAAGGTTCAAAAAAACGCACAAGGAGGAATCTTAGTGCCATTGAGTTGCAGTCTGCATCTACACATGTCTTATTGAATTGCCCACAAGTTAAACCATTTGTTGAGTAAGTTTCTGGGTTCTCACTAAAATATGTAATTACAAGACAAAACAATTAACTCAATATCCATCTTGTTTGACAGTTACTTTGTGCATTTATATGGCAATGAAAGAGTATTTGAGAATTTCTCAAAGTGGTTTCAAGATTACGTAAGCCTTATAATATTTTCATAATACTATTATTATTAAATAAATTTATATTTAATTGATGCTAATTTCTTACTTTTTAAATATTTATAGATTTATGACACAAAAAATGGTCAATTTGACCAATTTTTGAAGGAAATTTTCTTGGGGACCCATCAAGACTTATTCAATGAATAAGTATGTTGTTAATGGTTTTAAATTCACTACTGAAGAATACTCCAAATATAAAAAAACTAACAATAGTGGAGTTTGGGTAAAAGGTGGTGATGGAAATCTAGATGGAGTTGATTATTATGGGGTACTCAAGGAGGTTTTGGAAATGGAGTATTCCGGTTGGCCTACAAAAAAAATTATATTATTTAGATGCAAGTGGTTTGATCCAACCCCAAAAGAGGTACGAGAGAAATCAAACAATATAATATCATTGAAGTAAAGCACACAAGGGAATATGAAGCTTATGATCCTTTTATTATTGCACAAAATGTTAAGCAAGTGTACTATGTTCCTTATCCCTTGCGTCCAGATAAAGCTGATTGGTGGGTGGTTATTAAAACCAAACCCATGGGCCGTGTGGAAGTTGAAAACGTGTTGGATGTTGCATACCAAAATGATGATTCATTAATTTTCACCACACCGTCGATATTGAATTAGAAAATGATTTAGAGCATCCTGAACACATATTAGAAGAGGTTGATATGGAAGAAATAACAAATGAAGGGGCAAATGCAACAATTCATGAGGATGAGTTTGAGTATGATGATGAGGATGAAGATGAATATGAGGACGAGGACGAGGATGAGGATGAGGATGAGAATGAGGATGAGGATGAGGATGAGGACGAGGAGGATTAGTAATTACCAATGTATCTCTATATTAATTACCTTGTGTGCCTTTTGTTTTAATTTCAATAACTTCAACTTCATATGTACTCGTGTGCCTTTTGTTGGATGTTGTTTTCGATATTATTTTGTACTTGTGGTTGTGGCTTTATTTTATTTTAAAAAGTGATGAACTGCTAGATAAGCTACTGGATGATGTTTGTCTCTCATATCTTTAATATTTAACAACCTTTGACTTTAATGTTTTTGTTACTAATTAGATGACAGGTAAATGTAAGAATAAAGATATTGATAATGGCCCCAAAAAGAAAAAAAAGAAAGAAGGTATGGTTAGTATACAACAAACAGGTATACATAGAAGATCAGACAACACAACATCTCTCCCACCAAAAGACACTCAGCCACATAGCTATTCTAGGCGGACCGTGCCTCCACGTATTATTCCTCCTTCGACCTATATGCATCCACCACTGGAATATACTCAGCCGCCCCCTCAGGTACCTTTGATGATGACCACATCAGGGAATGCTACCCCACAGGGATACAGTGTTTTGCCTCAAGAGGATAATCGACCAACGTCTAGTGTCTCTCGCACTAATACTCACAACCCTGCAGACTCACAACCATCATCATCATCTGCTTCACAACTTATGATGTCGAGTCTTCGCATTCAAGGTAATAGTTCTGAGCCTAACACTCCTACCACAAATCAGTCAGATACACCTGGTCATGACAATACACAAGTTGGCATGAGGGACATGCATAATAGACTTGTCATTGAGCCTGAAGGCTACACGTAAGTTTTTTTTAAAAATATGGTATGTTTATTATTATATGATTTAATTCTATTTGTTTTAACTTGTAAATGTTAAAACTTTGTATTATAGTTTCAATCCAGATGATGCTGTGGGGATCATTTCTCAGACAATCAAAGAACTCTATAGAGATGCTTATCCTACATGGGGCAAGTTCCCTAGCAATCTCAAGAGACAAATATTTTTGGAGTTCAGGGTATATTCGAATTTATTTGTTTAACACTATTAAAATACTTGTCTTCATTAATACTTATCAAATAAAATAATTTACGCTTTGATTGTAGAAAAAATGTGCTTGGCGTCCGGAACATGAGGCCAAAATTTGTGCAAACTTTCACAAGAAAGCTATGCATACTCTTGCTAGTTTGTTTAATAAAGCTCGTAGAGATAATAGCAAACCTAGCTGGGTTCTATCGGAGGATTGGGCAAAATTACTCGTGCATTGGAAATATGATCCAAGATTTAAGCAGATGAGTGAGATCGGTAAAAAGGCAAGATCATCTACTAAGGGTGGTTCTCTACACACAAGTGGGGCTCAAAGTCAAGGAAGTGTGAGGAGGAAATTGGTGTGTATCATTTTTCTTTGTGTTTATATATTTTATGTATTAATATTTAATTACTCTTGATTATAAGTTTATTATTTTATGTAGGAAAAGGAACTAGGAAGACCGATAACTCAAGCTGAGGCATTTAAGGCAACACACATTAGAAAGAAGAAAAATCCTGAAGATCCAGACGTGTGGGTTGAACCGCGAGCTGAAGTGACCTATGTAAGCCTCTAATTTTAAAAAATAATTACTTATTTTCTAAATTTATATTCTCATATGATAACATTCAATTTAGAATCGATATCTTCAAGCTTTGGAGGATTTACAACAAACTCTGCCTGAAGAAAATCGAGGTATGCCACTTACTCAAGAACAGGATGAGAGAGTTTGGTTAGACTTGACTTGTGGGCCGAGTAGATATGGGTATGCATATGGAATGCCGCATAAAACCTTTCGTGAATTTTCTTCTGAGTTTGAAGGCCTAAATAGTTCAAATCATGATGAATCAATGAAGAAAAATTTGGCTATGGAGAAAAAGATTGTTGAGCTATCTAGCCAAGCCGAAGAATCACGGGCTAGGGAAAGGCGGTTGGAATTACAGTTTGCGGGTCTTAAGGCTCAATTCGATGCATTACTTGCCTCAGGAGGGATTCCCCCTTGTTCTGGTGATGTCACTTTCCCTCCTCGACCTCCTCAATCTCAACCTACTCAATATCCAATGTATGGTCAACAAAGAAATATGACCCATGAGAGTAGTGATGAAGAAAGTGATGATTATGTGGCAAACACACTACCACATTAGTGAATTTTAGACTTGTGATATCTAACTTATGGATTATTTTGTTAACTTTATAATTTTGTGATGTGAATTATTTGTTTTGTGAATACATGATAACGTTGGAATGTATTATATAACTTATGGATATCATGGTTTTTGTTTAATATATAATTATGTTGAAGTGAGTTGCAATTGAGTTGATAAGAGAATATTTAGTAAATGTATTGCTTCAATTGAGTTTTTGAAGCTCTTTGAGTTTGATTTGGTTACTGAATTAAAATGACAGGTGATGAGAAGCCACAGAAATAATAATTTTCTGCCAGTTTTTTTTCCAGAAAAAGAGACCTAATGAGGTCTCTATTTTGCATTAATTTTCCAGATATTTCATAATAGAGACCTCATGAGGTCTCTTTTTTGCATTAATTTTTTCAGATATTTCACATTAGAGACCTCATGAGGTCTCTATTTATCATTTTCTATTTTATAAATGCAGAAGAGAGACCTCATGAGGTCTCCCTTTTGTATTAATTTTTTCAGCTATTTCAAAATGGAGACCTCATCGGGTCTCTAATTAACATTTTATAAATGCAGAAAAGAGACCTCATGAGGTCTCTTTTCTGCATTATATTTTCCGTAAATATCATAATGGAGACCTCGTGAGGTCTCCAAATATAAATGCAGAGAAGAGACCTCATGAGGTCTCTACTTTAAAATAATATAAAATTAAATTAAATAATATCTTAGCGACCTAATGAGGTCTCTTAATTAAAATATAAAATTAAATAATATTATAAAATTGTGACCTCATGAGGTCTATATATAAAAAATATAAAATTAAATTAAATAATACAATAGTAACCTCGTGAGGTCTCTTTTTTGTAAAAAATCAGATTATTTGTTGGTGACCTCGTGAGGTCTCCGTTTGGCGACCTCATGAGGTGTCTGTAAAAAAGTGACCTGCATTTTACTGACCTAGCGTTGCGGTCTCTTTTTAGGTCTCTTTTTTCCGAAAAGAGACCTCGTGAGGTCTCTTTTCTAGGTCTCTTTTTGGCCGTTTTTTAGTAGTGCAAGTCAATCTAGTCGGGTTTTTTAAATATCTAAAATCAAACCAAACCAAAAAAATAACCATCGGTTTGGTTATTGTCGGTTTGATTTGATATCTCTGGTTTATTCGGTTTGAAAGAAATAATTTTTTTGAGGACGTATGTATCTCGATAGACACAAACACCAAGTACATAAACAATCTACGGAAAAGCTAAGTCGGTTCAATCAAGCAATTGAGCAATATTAGAGTTATCATTACATGAACCAAGTGATTCATTTAAGAGAAAGTGAGACTATTTTATGTGAAGTACAGTAGGTAAAGACTAAAATAAATTTTGATGGACTTAGATTTGATATTGTTATACCTGGGCTGAAGTGTTGGGCTTGAGAAAATATTAAAGTTAAAGACTTGAGCTAATTGAAATTTAACAAAACATTTTAAATTTATTTATTAATAATATATAAATAATTATAAAATTTATATATCTAATTTATCGGATCCGTTTGGTTATTTTTATGGTTGTTTTTTAGTAAAATCAAAATCAAACCAAATAGTATCGATTTTTAAAATTTTAAAATCAAACATAACCATACTAAATCAAATATTAAATTTTTTAATCGATTACAATTGATTTGATTGTTAACCATACCCATGAACGACCCTAATAAGAAGGATGGTCTTCGATTGATAGAGTTCTATGATAATACTACTTCAAATTTCTTTTAAAGGACAAAAAAGTCAAATATGATTAAAAAATCAGAACAAAACAGGTCTGTAAGGCATTGCCGGAGAAGTCAAAGATCCCCTTGCATTAAGTCAACTTTAACTCTAGAATCATTGCCCACCTAAGGTAAGAATTGTTTAAGCAACTATAATTGACTAAAACAAGGAGTTTACAACTAAAATGAGCCAAACAAACTTAGCTAAAAATTATAAACACACCACCTACCTTTCAACAGAGAGAGTAACAGATAAGCCACAAAAGTTTACACTGGCTTGTTAGACGATAGTTATGACTTAAAATCGTTGACTTAAATAAAAAATTTTAACATTTTTTCGTCGGATATTTTTTTCCCACTCGATGTACGGTATTTATATTGAAGCCCGACTAAATTCGAATTCACGCTAGGAAATTCCATATTGGGATGTAAAGAGCTCTCTAGAAAAGCGACTCTATACGTAAGGAGGCTCAAACCCGAAACCTCTTGGTTAAGGATGAATGAGTACTACTATTACCATTCCACCACAACCCTTATTGGTAATATTAAAATGAAGCGTGACATGATTGACAATCTAATTTAAAGGAATTACTTTCTGTTTCATTTAGAAAGAAAAAAATGTTTATTTATAGGGACATTATTATTCCACTTTTATCTTTTATTTTATCGAATTTTCTTCAAACTCAAGCAATTTAAAATTTACAAGTACCCTTAATAAATTAAGAGAGTAGTTAAAATTTTATTTCGAAATCATACAAAGAAACTAACTATTACAACAGAAAAAATTCAATATTGTTATGAAATTATATAAACTTAGAAGAAGAAAAAAGTAGGGAGAAGAGAAAAGACTTCTTATTTCTCTTGAAGTATATTCAGGATTCATACATCTTTCACAAATCTTATTTACAATAAAGGAAAATCCTTTATTTATAGAGAAAAACCTTACTTGGTCCCCAAGTAGGATTTCTAACTATATCCTACTAGGACTTCACATAATTAGACATTCACTATAATACAAATTGTTTATAACACTCCCCCTTGAACGTCGATAGATTATGTGCCTCGTTAAAACCTTACTAGATAAAACCCAGTGGAAAAAAATCTAGTGAAGGAAAAAGAGTAAACATATCTAACAATACGCATTATGGATGCCTCATTAAAAACCTTACAAGGAAAATCAAGTGGGACAAAATCTTATGAGGGAAAAAGAGTACACCGCGTATTAACTCCCCCTTATGAGAACATCAATTTAGAGACTAGAATCTTCGTTTTCCAAGCTTGTACACCATCTTCTTGAAAGTTGTAGTTGGTAGAAACTTGGTGAATAAATCAATAATAATATTACTTGAACAGACCTCTTGCATGTTGATATCACCATTCTTGGGAGCTCATGAGTGTAGAAAAACCTTGATGAAATACGTTTTCTTCTATCTACTTTTATGAATCTTTTATTCAGGGTCAAAGATTTCTGCAAGTTCGTTACTTCAACTTCTTTAAGCAAATAATCTATTGCCAAGAGTTTCAATTCTAGTCATTAACTTGTATAATAATACTTGTATATGCTCTATGCATTTTGAATCTATTTAATCCTTATGAGGATGATAAACAAGTTTTCCAAAAACTTGTATATGCTTTAAATTTTGAATCGTTGGATATTTTCATATCAATTTTGTCAAGTAACAACATTCAATATTAGATGTATGACATCTTCTAGTACTTAGATTGCAAGTCAAATAAGATTCACGCTTACCAAGATGCTTTAATAAATATAGAATTCATATCCTCATTATTCTTTTACAATATTTTGCGCTATTGTATCAAAGATATCGTCAACGATATACCATTTTGTATCGATTCACAATACGACAAAACTTATTGAGATCTCATCACTTCATTATTTTTGGGTAGCTACCCCTCTCATGAAGTTTCATAAAGTGTTATGTCGTAGGCTGTCCAAGAGCATATTGTATCCTTATTATGATCATTTTGATTCTTTGATCCTCTCCCTTTTTCAAGGATTATTTTATTTAGAATTGATTAGTCTATCATGCTTTATGCATGTCATAGACTTTATCCTCAAGGGACATTCAATATATGTATTTACAACTCTTGTGTTGCTTCTAGCCTTCCCCTTATGTTAGACAACTAACATATATCTCAATCTTTTGGAGAATCTATCTTTGTGCATTATTTTATATTCATTGATTATATTCCATATATCAAAATAATCAGATGAAAAATATTTGGTCCTTGACCATAAATCGATTGAAAGAAAATCTGATCATAATTTATTGGTTTGATGCATACAATTACTTTTGTATGCGCAATCATATTTCAGATCAACACATGGAGCTTTATTTTTACAAGCAATGATTTCACCGTCTCTGACATTTAATGTCACAACATCTTGAGTATTTATCAATATCATCAAGATAAATTGTCTTGATTACATATCTGAAATTGTGCTCTTAACTCAATTATTTTTGCACAAACAATTTTGTGAATATCAAACTACAGGTTGACAACAAACGCACATGTGATTATCTTATAAATACATCTTTTTATCATGTCACATGATAGGTAAACGGGACCATATTCACCTTTTATACTTTTCAGAATTAAGAGATTTAAGCTCAACATTAGTTGATCCAATGAACTTGTCATGAGAACAAACAACAAAAGAATTCTTGAAGGATCTTCTAGTTTTTCAATCTATGTCCATTACTCAGTATGCATATCTTTGGGATGACCAAATTATTCACGCCAACTAATATAATTATTAGTACTCGTAAACTCCAAGTTTACTACGACATGTGCCTTCTGCTTTAGTAAATTTCTAATTTATTATTACATGAGTAAATTTTAATTTTATTACTCCAAGAGTAATTTTAAGATTTATTTTTTCTCAATTACTTTACCCTTTAGGTGAGTCGTGATCCCATCATTGAATGAACTAATCTGAAGAAAATTGTGCATGCAACATATTATTTGTGCCAACATTTTTGAAAACATCAAGTTGTGAGATAATAATAGGCACACATTAGATCATATAGAAGAAACTTTTATTTGGACTATTAAATATCTAAACAATCCACTAAGTGGATGACTAGGTCCACAAATATCTGTATACGTTCCTAGAACGCAGAGAATTCAATCTCAACTTTCGTTTATGATGGTCTCACAATTAACTTGCCTTGCTAACAAGTAGTACAAGAAAATTCACCATTTAAAAAAAATTTTAGTTTCTTCCATGGATGTTC